AGGTTTTCATTGCTTATTACATTTTTCACCTTCAGGAAACTGTTTCTGGTGAACTTTATTCTGACTGTTATTGTATGGCTATGATCCTACTGCTCAATCAGTCACATTACACATATATTTGTCAATACACTTCACACTCGCATTTTTTATCTTTAACTTCATTTCTTGGGCTGTTAGCTTTGTACTGATTGCCAATTTTTCACTATAAGGGTATAACGATCTACTGTATGTGAAAATGGAGCTTTTTAAGGAACACATTTTACAAGGTGACTGTTAAGGTTAGATGGAATACAGAGTTGGAATTTTTTTTTCTAACAAGCCATAATGATTTGAGCAGAGGTTAAATTGCCAGTGTTCATGTAGGTGTACAATTTTCAGCTGTGATGTAAAATATAACCTTTTTAAAATGTATGCATTTATTATCATTCCTGATTTTTATCTTTCTAATTTAAGGATGCATTTTTAAATTTAATTCTCAATGATCCACAAACTTACTTCTGCATTTTATCAGGCTCAACAAAAGGTTACATTTGCTTAATGGTTTTATCCCTTATCTGGGCGGTCTCTCTCCTTTTCATTTTCAGTAGGAATTAGTTTCAAATAATGCTTCATTTGAGTGAATAAAACCTCCCATCTTAAATGTAACTACTTTGAATGGTCTGTGGAGTTAATTGAGCTTAATTGCTAGTGTGTTTTCTCATTGTGGCCTGGGGATGGGACGGAATCAGGAAGTGCCACTTGGGGGAAAAAAACAGCATGCAGAGGCCACATGTAGTGATGTGAAAGAGTCTCCCTCTCTCCCATTTGTCCCCTCCAAATCTGGCAGTCATGGCACAGCAAGACCAGCCAACATTTAAGAACTCTTGGTTCTAGTGGTAGATCAAGATGCCAAAGTTTTAGGCTGGATTTCCCACAGTGGATTGGTGGAAATAAAACTTTAATAACTGGAAATGAGAATAGGTTTTTTTCCCTAAGAAATTAATGTTGGGGTGAACTATAGCACTACCCCAATTTCAAAGTGCACAAAATATATCCAATGCATTTATTCATGCAGCCAATAATGCAACAGTTATTGAATTTTCCAATACTGCAAACTTTTCTGAATGAAAAAGAAGAAAATCACCTAGGAAATGCACAAATTTTCTTCAATAATTTTTGGAGCAAATCACCATGCAGAAAAGAGGGGATAGAATCATCCACTCTTCAAATCTTGTGGGGATGAGTATAATCATTATTTACTTACTCCTAGCTATGTGATCTGATATTCATGTGGATCTGATCCATGAGTTATCTAGAAAAATTTCACTTAAAAACTTATCTCTATAGACTTTGATCCAGGCTTGGCCATGGTTAGAGCAGACTCATTCAGAACACTGAAACAAGTTCTTAATTTATTTTAATGGGCACCATAATGGCAGATGAGATTCAGTGTCAGCATAAAGTGATACAAACCTAAGCCATTTGGCCCTTGCCAGGAAAGAGATCTTGGTCATGGCAGATGCTTTGGCAAAAGTGCTGACTTTTGTTCCCTAGTGCAGTGGTCCCCAACCTTGGGCCTCCAGATGTTCTTGGACTTCAGCTTCCAGAAATCCTGGTCAGCAGAGGTGGTGAAGGCTTTTTGTAGTTGTAGTCCAAGAACCTCTGGAGGCCCAAGGTTGGAGATCACTGCCCTAGTGGGTGTCATTCCCTCACATAATGTAATAGAGGGACAGAAAAAGACTGTGGCTTTTCTATTACCTCTGCTGAGAGACCAGCGGCTTTTATTCCCCTCAGTGGTCACCTATTTAGATACAGGGCTTGTGACTGGAGCAAGAGTGATGCTTCCCAGTATGGGGGTGCGGCATCTCCACACCTACACCACTACCTATAATGGCTGCTGTTCCATTATGCTACCTCCTGAACTGTTTCCATACCAGCTAAATCATTATACTGTAACCTTTAGGAACTGCTAGCCTCTTGCTTCTCATCTGTGCTTCCTTGTGAATCTTGTTTTTTTGTCTGTAAGCCTCAGGCACTGTCTTCTTACTGATCCTTGCAAACCACTCTGGGATTTGTTTTGGTTAAACGTGCTAAAGAATTACAGTTGCACACAGTAGCAGTGCGTGCTTTATTTGGGACTACCGGGAAGGAGAACGAAGATAGAACAGAAAGCAGTGTTGTGTATGCATTTGCCCATGTATGCAGTAGCTAAAAGCATGTAGGGGAGCAGGAGGATGGCAATAAAGTGTATTTGTCTCCTGTCCATGGAATAACATTTAACATTTGGGTCAGCTGAATATGCATACCAATCTCTTTGTGATCAGGAACCCTGGTAAACTAATTAGTTATGGGCTTTAGAGTGTTGGTAATGACTCAGGAGACCTGGGTCCAAATCCCAACCTAGCCATGAAACTCATTGGAATGGTCTGTCTCACAGAGTTGTTGTGAGGATGATGAGAGCCATATGTGTTAAGCTTGTTGGATGAGAGGCAGGACATCAGTGAAACAATAAATAAGGCAGGTTTCATCGACACAGAGAGTAAGTACTGTAATCATTCAAGCAAACTCACAACTCTCCTTTAGACCAAAATATAAGAATCAGAATTTGGGGAAAAATATTCAAAAAAGAGCCTATGTTGACTGGCAGGGTGCTGGGAGTTGCTGTTTAAAAAGTAACTTTTCCATAGCCTGGTATGTTAAATTGACGTGTTCACATTCACATTTCCATCAAAGCATGACACTTAAGGTGACAAGGATGGTACTCAAGGTATTTATTGGAGCTGAGTATGTGGGGAGTGGGACTTGCACATGTGCCATTACTACCCCCACACTGTGACCAATAGAATCTTAGTCTTTTATAGCTCTTTGTCTGTATCATTATAAAATGTATGTACACTATACAGTATGTTTGGGATCTTCTCTGCTTTTAAGGGAAGTCCCAGCTGACCTTTCTTGCTTTTTGCTCTAAAAAATAAAATCAGACCCTTGGTTCAGAGTGGTTGCATCTCTGCCTGATTCCTTGCTGGAAAACCGAAACCCAAAACTGGCCGGTAACAACGGAGGCAGTCATGGGGTTCTTATAGAATCAGATTTCAGAGGAAGCCCTTGCTTTACTTCTGAAGACCCACCACCACACAAATCAAGTTAATTTTCCTATTCATAATGAGAGTAACTCCAGATCTAAATAAGGGCAATCTCTAAATTCTGTTTCTGACCTTAGTAGTCGAACACTTTTTTCTTTTCATCTTTCATGCAATTAATGCTATATTTCTACATACAGTATATGCACTTATTAGAGAGTAATCCCTGTTGCACCAGCTTCCGTTTATTTCTGAATAGGCAATAGAAATGCCGAGAATGCTCAAACATCTTGTTTTCCTCAGAGATTTAACAAGTCTTGTCATTACAAGGCTCTTCATCAAACCATGACTTCTTTGTTTCCTGAAAAAACAAGACTAGTGATCTTGTTTTTATTCCATCCCCCGCCTTCACTTGTTTTTGTCCTGCAAGAAACGCCTTGTTAAAAAGTTGCAAAGACCTTCCCCCAACAAATGCTTCAGATTTTGAGAAGCCATAAAACAAAGCAACAGCTGCCACATATTTTGACATTTTGTACAAGTTACACAGTCTGCATAACTGTTAGGTCCATAGCATCAGAAAATGGCTTCCTCTCTTGAAGGGCAAAGAGAACAATTTGCAATTCATCTCTGTTTTTGATCACAAGACAAGACATGTTTTACATCCTTAGCTGTAATGGAGTGGTGGGCAGACATCATGCTTGCAAGGATGTACTTGCTTAGTGGTGGGCAAAATAATCTTAAAATTAATGAACAGCCTCTGTTTTTCAGCACATACTAAGCTTTGTCAACCCAAATCCACTCATGGTTGCTTTTTTCCTAAGGTCTGATCTACTGCGAATCACCCCAGCATCTGATCCACATCTACTTTCAGACCATTCATGTTTCAAATGACAAATAAACTATCAATGAACTGCTTTGAAAAATAAATTACAAGTCTGATGTGTCAAGGGATGTAGTAAATATAAAAGAGAATATCCTCTGACATAAAATATCCATTTAATCTGTTCTGTTTTCAGATCTAAAACTGGAAACTGGAAGTGTAAGACATAACAAAATGCAAGACAGAAGAAAAGACACAAAGGATGTTTAATACAACTTCATGTGTTTATTTCTAGACATTTAAAATAAATGTTAAGGCTGAATTCTTCTGCACTAAATAAAGTTCCTGAAGGATTCAGCAGAATTCCCCCCAACCTCTGCAAGTGAGGCAAATTGATATCTTTCAGCCCTTTTGCTACATTAAGACCAATCCCCCACCCCCACCCCATCTCACAGCATCTTCAAAATGTTAAATGTGTAATTCTGTAAAGAACCCTGCTGTTCTGTTCTAAAAGGGAGAAGATCACTGACTGACAATGGAGAATAAAGTGTGCAATCTCCCCACATCAAGTGTTTATTAAAGACCATTATGATTCCAGGCATTTCTTCACATGAAGCCCTGCCATTAATCAGTAGTTTTGTTCTGCAAGAAAAGAGATACATCCAAATAAGGATGAGTATACTCTCTTAGTTCCCAGTGAAGTGAGAAATAATGTCAGTAAATGCCATTCTTTAAAAAAAACAAATAAAATCCCACCTTAACTTAAAAGCCATTCAAGCAATTCGGTACACTACGGGACAGGCTAGTTCTTGCCACTGCCACCTTGTGAGGAACCGCTGTGGTCTGAGCACCCTTCTCTGCCTATCCCCAGCTGTCATCAGGGCTCACTGGCTCAGTACAAAAGTGTCTAAGTGTATTGTGCTTACCCAGCATTGGTGGACTAAAAAGCCAGGAACTAGGGAAGGAACTGGTAAGTCCATGTGTTTGGGTAACCATGTGGAAGAAAGAAGAGAATGAAGTGCCACTGCAATTTCTTCTTCTTCTTCTTCTTCTTCTTCTTCTTCTTCTTCTTCTTCTTCTTCTTCTTCTTCTTCTTCTTCTTCTTCTTCTTCTTCTTCTTCTTCTTCTTCTTCTTCTTCGTTACATTTATGTTCACCTTTCCTTCAGTGAGTGGCAAACCTCCACCAATGGCAGGACATGTAGGAAAGCCTGTGCAGGAGAAAAGCTATAACAGCAATGACGGTAATTAGTGCAGTTGCTGGGCAGATTTTCTCAAATGCCTGGCTGTGAGTGGGGAAAATATATTTCACCTCTCAGTTCTGAGCTGCCATATTACCTCATTGGCCAGGTTTCATCTGAGTTATCCCCTATAATGTTTCCCACAATTTACTGGCCTCCTAGAAGCAGTTCACTCCCTCCCAAAGTCTACCTGCCCAACCTCCAGGTTTCAGATTTTGACCCTGAAATATCACAGAAGGGATGCGGCTGGCCTGTCAGAATCAGCTCTGATCTAACCACCCCATGGCTTTAAAACACAAAGGGACAATTTCTCCATGGGTCTCCCACACCAGGTCTGCTTTAGCCATAAGATGGAGTGGTGAGCTCATTCATCTTTATAAAAGTTGCATGTGGAAGTACAGCCACTCTGTCTGGCCCAGACACGTGACCTACAGGAATCATGAAGGATGTTTGGATCTGGCTCGCATGTCTCTCATTTTTGCTAAATATCTTCTCTGTTTTGTGAGACAGAGAGACAGAAACACAGACATGTTCTTACATCTAACATACTGGGATTTTTAAAAATGAAAATTCCATGAACGGGGAGAGGGGGAAGCATACTGAGAGGTGACAATTAGTAAGATCAGTACATACATGGCGAGAGAATATAACCTTTCTTTGCATGCTGCAGTCTCAAAGATCATGTCTGTTTTGATCCAAGATTTGTAATGGGTGACAAGCACCATGTACCATGTAGGAAACATTGGAGGAAACTAGCCAACTGTTGGCCAGTTTCTGAAACCAGATGTCATTTGGCTCAATAACAAAGTTAAAAATAGGCATGAATTGAAGGGGTTGAAACTGGCTGCACATGAGTCAAGTTTTTCCATCCTGGTGGGCAATCCTGATCTACTGGATTACAATTCCAATCAGCCTCAGCTACCCACTGGATATGTTGGCTGAGATAGTGTGAGTCACAGTCCGCATCTGCCAAAGTTCCACACTGGGAAGGGAGCAGATGATTCAGGAGTAATACCACATACATCCACAGACAACACATTTCTCTAGATAAACTAACATAGCTGCATTTTATGCTGCAGTCACATAAGTCACTTGATTACCTGTAATTAGCAAACTAATGAGACAACAGAAAGAACAAGAGGTGAGATAAATAAAACCCAGTAGCTATGTATGATGCTTGGAAGTGAGAAATGGGACAAACCCAACTAATAATTGCAATTTTCTACCAGCTTTTACTGATTGAATAACTATCAATATAAATCTTACCAGAAAGTTGGTTCAGTTAAATTTTGAGATCACATCACCATCATTTCATGTCCATAAATCTAAGTCAGGTGAAGAACTGTTCTCTAATTTGTTTCTTCCCTGAGAACAGCAGAAAGCAAACAGCATGGTTGATAAAAAAATAAATGTGCTTTAGCCAATTTGATTTTTCCCTGCCAATAATTCATATTTCATTTCAAAATGAGAGGTCATAGATTTTAAACAGGAATATTATAATGGTTTTTATGGGTTTTTCAGGCTCTTTGGCCATGTTCTGAAGGTTGTTCTTCCTAACGTTTCGCCAGTCTCTGTGGCCGGCATCTTCAGAGGACAGCAA